AATGATTAAACTGTTGCAACAGCCACAGAAAGTTGCTACCGCCAGTGCTCGATTATTGTCTGCCTCGCTTAGCAACCATTCACACTAATGACAGCGAGGAAACGTTAACTTTGTGAGACGGCCTCGCGTTTACAACCTTTGCTGGTCTGTAAAGCAAAGAGCAAAGAAGGGACGCAGTGGCTCAGTGGCTAGGATGCTGAGCTTGTCGATCAGGAAGGTCGGCAGTTGGGCGGTTCGAATCCCTGACGCCGCGTAACGGAGGGAGTTCCCGTGACTTGTCCCAGCTTCTGCCAACCTAGCAGTTCGAAAGCACGTAAAAATGCAAGTAGAAAAATAGGGACCACCTTTGGTGGGAAGGGAACAGCGCTCCGTGCGGCTTCGGGAGTTGAGTCATGCCGGCCACATGACCACGGAGATGTCTTCGGGCAGCGCTGGCTCTTCGGCTTTGAAAGGGAGATGAGCAGTGCCCCCTAGAGTCAGGAACGACTGGCACACACCTGCGAGGGGAACCTTTACCTTTACCTAAAGCGAAAGCCAGATCATAAGAGCACGGAGGGTTTCACCTACGACAACCAGAATTCCTTACTGCATGCATTATACTTTTTTAAAAAGTACAGGTAACTTTTTTCCTTCCTTTTTCTCCCCCAAGGATTATTTACAACACATATTATTATTCCATGGAGATCTACCAGCCGTTTTTCGGCTACTACTTCTTAAACGGCCTCCTGATGGCTCTTCAGCTCCTCCACGCCTTCTGGTCCTACCTGATCATTCGCATGGTTTATCGGTTCCTGCTCTGTGGCACAGTAAGGGCAGAAAGGGGGGCACCCGGGCAGGTGGGTGCGTGTTTGGGGGAGGGGGGAGAGGCCTACAAACTGCTAGCACCTCACCCCAAATGCCAACTGCGTCAGGGGGAGGAGAACAACTTCCTGCCAAACGTTTCCTGGCTGTAGAGAGGGAAGCTCTGCTTAACGTCCGTTACTGAATCGAATCATTGTTTTCCTGTCTTTGCCATCAAAAAAGATATTGAGGGATGGAGCTGGCCACAAGAGGCCTTAATTGTGGGTTTGGACGATGGAAGAGAATCATTAACAGCACTCTTGCTATGCCCAGGAGCTATTCTGGCCTAGGCTTCCGGAGAAAGCATCAATCACAATCTTTAGTCCCCCAAACCCTCTTTTGTTGATACGGCTGTGAATTATGGTGAAAGCCCGCAAGACTTCGCAAACAGTCCGTGAAGATCCTGACAGATGTCTGCTCGAGTTGCCACAGCCTTTCAGGAGAATGTTGACAAACAGCCACCTTCTCTCCCTGGGAATCCTGCCTGATGGCCAAATGCAGATCAAGGCCAAACCTAGCATCTAACTCCGTACCATCCCCTCTCCCATTTCCCCACCACAGAAAATGCATAGCAGAATAATAGAAAGTGTGGCAGGCCAAAGACTCAAAAGAAAAGAGGGCTGCAGGCCCGACACCACCTCTGTGTCCCGTCCCCCAAAGATTTCTGCCTTCCGGTGGTCTCCAGTTCCTCCTCTTCTCTCTTGCAGATGGAAAAGGACCTGCGGAGCCACTCGGAGGCCAGCGAGGATGAGGTGGCCCACCGGGAGATGACGCAGAAAAACAGCACTGTGGATCCCCAGCCCAACCGCCCGGCGGTCACCCGGAGAACACCTGTGTAGACGGATGGCGGGAATCCCCCTTGCGGCGTTCCCGCCGAAGCCAGATAGCCCCAGCCTGCTCTGCTCCTCAGTGCTGCTCTCCCCCACCCGGCCCTGACCTCTGACCTTCTCCTAGACCTGGAAAGGGGGGTCATTGTTCAAGTACAACACCCCCCAGGCCCGCCTCAAATCGTGTGCCTGGTTCTGTCTCATTGCCCGATCTTTTAGTGGCCCTCCGAAGCTCACGGCAGCAAGAAGCCGCAAAACCTCTCCAGAAGATCGGGAGCGATCCTGGTGGAATCCTCTGGGAGGGGGGGAGGGGAGCGAGGTGGGCCTGGGTAGCCCAGCCCCGAGAAAGAGACAATGATTCCTTACCCCACCCCACAAGCAAGGCCGGAGTCTCCTGAGAGCCCCGCGTTGTGCAGGGGGAGAAAGAGGGTGAGAAGATGCGCGTGAGGCATCGGCTTGGGAATGGGACGAGTCGCCATGCTGAATTCGCCAGGGCCAATTCGCCGTTGCCAACGCTCCACGGCTATTTCGCCAACAGGACAATTCGCCGCAGGACAATTCAGCAGCTCAATTTAATTCAAATTCCTTCCCTTCTTTCTTCCTTAACTACATTACTTCCCCCCCCCCCCAAAAAAAAAATACAAAACTGGAACAGTTGAATTCCCAGCCTCCTCTGCCCTGCCATCCCTATAGCATAACCTATGATTGTGGGTAAGGTAGCCTTCTCCTACTCCAGGAGGTTTTCATAGTGACTCACCGGGCTAAATCCTGCCAAGGGTCCTAAGTAGAGAAATTTAGCTTCAGGGCACAGTTTCATAGGGGTCTCCTGCAGTGGTGGGTTTCAAAAAATTTTCGAACCTACTCTGTGTGTGTGGCCTCCTTTGTGGGAGTGGCTTGCCGGCCATGTGGCGCAGTGGTTAAATGCAGCACTGCAGGCTACTGCTAGATCAGCAGGTCAGCGGTTCAAATCTCACCGGCTCAGGGTTGACT